AGAAAGCCATCTATGCTTTTTGTTGGAGTTGCTATTAGAAATTGCTATATTTGACTATGTATGATTTCTTATGGTATATTAAATTTCAGTCAGTTAAGTGCCAGACGTTATACGCGCTTGAGTGATCATCAGTTTTGGTTCATGACTGACTCGGCAGAAGATTTTCCCGCTGTAGGTTGCCATTTCATTCTGTGGTATAGTGGTTGCTTACTAAGGCTATAAGACACAGCTTATCCTGCTATTTAACCCATAACTGGGGGAGAAGAGATGGATCAATACCTTTCCCAAGGATTTTCGTGCATAAGTTAATGTGTTGAATCCGAGTGGAATTGGGACTAAATTAAATTTATCAAACTATAATAAATGTGCGTCCTTGAGATTTTTTTCTTGAGTGGCATGTAATGGCATTCTCTTCAAATCAAAGAAACTAATAACACTGGGAATATTTATGTTGCCCTAACTGCTTATATTGTCTTAAATATGCCACATGACACAAGATGAATATATGTTGTATAGCAGTAAACACGTTAATTAAAAGTTGCAGCCTTTGATTAATTATTGCCTCCATAGTGTAGATCATGTACTTTAAGTTATTCAGCAAAAAACTGTATACCACGCCATTTCTGTCGTTCTGATTCGAGTAAAGGAAAAATACTGACGTTAACTCAGAATAGATCACGTGATGATACGTTTCTTGGTTTTCCTATTTGCAATGTCTTGTTCACATATCTTGGAAGAGAATCAAAACTGGAATAAAAATAGTTTGTAACGTAAAATTTGATTAAAGCAAAAACAATGCACAGAATACTGAGAATCTTTCAAAAGAGATTTTGTTTTATTAAAATCCAGTACGGCTTTTCGAATAAACTCCCTAAAACAAAACCTTTTTGAATAATGCGAGAAATAAAATTAACTTTTAATTTTCCTATGGAACTTTGAATTGACGAACTGGAAGCTTTTCCTTTTCCAATTGTGATAGATTTTCGCAGGAATTATCTGAACTTAATTACAGGTTCGTTAAGTGAAAGGAAAATTTGATGAAAGCGAATGAAACAGGTATTAAATTTTGTTAGTTTTAGAAAAGATAACAGACGAGAAAATTGAAGAAGAAGAAAAGCTTGAAGAAGAAGAAGAAGAAGAAGAAGAAGAAGAAGAAGAAGAAATTAAGCAAGAAAAAAAAGATGAAGAAAAATTTGACCAAGAAGCAGTTGCTGAAGAAGGAGTTGAAGAAGACAAAAGTAGAGGAAGAAGAAAAAGAAGTTGAAGAAGTTGATGAAGAAGGAGTTGAAGAAGAGGAAAAAATCAATTGAAGAAGACGAAAAAGAAGCTGACAAAGAAGTTGATGAAGGGGAAGAATAAATAGAAGATGAAGAAAAAGAGGAAGTTGATGAAGAAAGAGTTGCAGAAGAAGAGAAAAGTAGATGAAGAAGTTGATGAGGAATGAGTTGAAGAATGAAAATGTGAAAGGAAAAGTTAATGAAGAAGGAGTTGACGAGAAAGAGGAAGAAAAAAGATGAAGAAAAAAGAGAAGTTGAAAAAGAAGGATTAGAAGAAGTAAAAGGCGGTGGAAGAAGAAGAAGAAGAAGAAGAAGAAGAAGAAGAAGAAGAAGAACAAAAAGAATTTAACGAAGAAGTTAATGCAGTGTGCGACAAAGAGAAATGAAAAAATAAAGAGCAAAAACTAAAAAGAAGATAGAGTGTGGGGGGTGGGAGATGAAGGTGGCGAAGTAGATGCCAAACAAAGAGAAGCATGTAAAGTAGATGATGATGATAATGATGATGATGGCGATAGGGATTATGATGATAAGAAAGGAAAGTGGAAAAAGGAAAATACTGAAGAAAGAAAGACGGTGGAAGTAGAATAAAGATTGAAAGAGAAGATAAAGAAGAGAGATAAACAAGAATAAAATCATAATGAGACAGACTGACGCAAATATAGAATAGAATAAAACTCATTGTAAATAATCGAAATTTATAATTCAATAATGGGAAATCTAAAAAAACAAAAAAAATCTCTGATAGTGGAGGAAACATAGTGAAAACATCGTGCTTTCAAATGTTTTTTTTCTAAAGAATCTGTGTGGGCTTAACAGTCATTCATTGTTTCCATCGATTGAGGAAGTATTACGTTACGAGCTGACTTGTTTGTAAACGGAATAAGCAGATGAAATTAAAGTGAAAATTTTTCAGGCACGTTTATAAAAGGAAAAAAAAAATGAAAAAGAATCCATTAAGAAAAAAAAAACATAAAAAATGCATCAGCTTTGTTACTAATTCGTTTTTAAGGATTTTGTTTTAGAATCATTAGGGTTCTTTTGTTTGTTAGCTTAATTTTTCGTTCTTATAAATGTAAAAGCTTGTTGATTAAAATATTACTTTTTGATGCGGTTGACGGGCAACTATACCCCAAAACTGACTTCTTGAATTTAATTTAAAAATATGAATTATCGCATTTTTTTAATACTTTCGTTCTTATGAGTAAAATTTAGTTGAAAAGAGCTGTTATTTTTTATTACTATCTTTTTACAAATTAAAAAAAAATCTTTTGGAAGCATTGTTTACAATAAGCTTTAAACAATTGTTTTAAAAGAGATTATATATTCTTAAAATTAAAATATGAAAAATATTAATGGCGAAAGCTAAGTTGTAACAATGGTGAAATTAATGGCATAATGGTAATGTTTGAGAATAGCCGTTTCCCTACAAGGAAATATCTGTCAATCACTGAGCGAACAGTGAGGGTTACTGTCAGATGAAATTTGTTAAATCTCTCTATTAAAAGAATTTTTCAATAAAATAGGTTTCACCGTTATCGTCCTTGGAGTTTCCTTACTAACCTTTTGGTTGAAGATAGTGTGGAAAGGCAACATCTTGATTATATCCTTATTTTCTCTTCTCGTTACACGTGCTTTCCATTTTAGTTGTGACTGCTGTTGGAAGACTTCAGGTAATTTTTTTTTTGTTATTTGGTAAAGTTCTTTATTAATGATTGTGTAACGTCAATCTATAAGATCTGATGAAGAATTGTCTTTTTAAGACCTAGATGTTTCATTCGTTTGCAAAGCATACAGTACAATGCACAGTCATATTCAATATTAAGCTGTAGTGTGGGACCCAAAGATTAGTGGTGCCTAGGAGTGGGCTAATTGTTAGTTGACCATTACTACTGCGTAAAGAGTTCGATCCTCACTGGATACTTCATATATGTGGCGTTGTACTAAAACTGAGTTACTCTTAGTTTTGACACAAATGCATTGCAAATTCGGAGAGTAGTCATCGCGTAACATTTTATAACACGTGTATGAATGAAAATTACTACGTCACACGTGGACGTTGCCCATGACCCATTTGAATGTCGATATCTTATGCTGATTCCTTCCTTTTAAGAATTTTTTTTCGGAGCGATGAGGTTTAATTGAAAGTGTTTGTCTCTTTTCCAAGTAAAATGCAACAGATTATATTCGTGCCCTGTCGGCTGGGACTTCAGAATACGCCAACTGTACATTTGCAGATAGTAAGAACTGCCCAATCATGCGTCCTGGGTATGAAGATAAACTACATCCGGCAGCAAGGCCACTGATCAGACGGTTTTGACGAGCATGAAACGACCTCTTAATTGCTGGTGTTCCCAGGTCCACCCTGACTCGGGGTGGTAGCACCTGTTAGGGCCCCAGCTATGGGCAAATAATTAACCTCGAAACTGGGGTCAAAACACTAAAAAAGTGTAAATATAGGTTTTAATATCAGCAATACATTTTTGTAAAAAAATTATCACCAGCAACACATTTTGAGAAAAAAAATATTACCTGCAATACATTATTACCAGCATTACAGTAAAAAAAGTATTACCAGTAATAAAAATCATGTCGGTTTTAAATGACCCATTGAGGTTGATATGCCGTAAAACAAAACAAACCAACACGAACAAACCAGGTTGCCGTCGGTTACACGGTGCTAGTAGCAAAAAAAAAAAAAAAAAAAAAAAAAAAGATCTTTGACTCGATCTGTTACAAAAATTGATTATCTTTACTCTTCAATTTACTGGGTTCATGCCTTTCGCAAGGGCGAACTAAACGCAAACTATCTCAGCTGGGATTTGAACTCGGTTCGTCAATTCCATTCTACTTGCTATTAACTATTAGGCCAACTACACCTCCAATCTCATATTGCAGTTTTTTTGTTTTTTTTATTCTGGCTTTTTTTTGTTTATTTTAATCCTTTCACCCCCAAGCAATGTAATAAAGCCACTCAGTCGCAAGGTCTTATTGAGAACGTAAGAAACTGAGAAGACGTTGCTGAAGGGAACGGACAATAACATAACAGGAGTCAAGGAGACAGATGACGACGATTGACGTTACATTTAAATTTTTGAAAATCAAAGTTAATTGGAAAGCAAGAAACCAGAAGAGACTTTCAACAAGCGAGAGGTGCAAGAGTAGGAACTTTAGCATAGAACTTCCGCTTACACGAAGCAATTTCAACAGCACAATGATGCGGCTAAACTGCTAATCTAATACTGTGTTTAAATTCGTGAAGTTAGGGTACCAAAGACGAGAACTAATCAGAACAATTACAATGAAAGTATTTATAGAGAAAAGGCACCTGGAGGCTAAGTTACAGCGGTAGGAAAGTAATTGAAGAGAAAAAATATTTGATTGGTCTTTTCTAATCGTCTTCTTCAGCCATTTTTTTGTTTCTCCAGCCAGATTTGACGGTTGCTGATTAGATTTTTTTTTGATCATCATAAAGAATTCTGTGAAGTGTGGTCAGTAGTTTGGTCAGTGGAATATCCAAAATACATAACGACAATATGCATAATAGTTTTGTTGATCGATCATGAACAGCTTGGTGCGATCCGGCAATGCTATGTTGGTTAAGAAGATTGTGATGTGACGATCTTCTAGATGGAGAAGTCCAGTTTACCATGGTAATCAACTTAATAAATGCTAGCACCTACCCGAGCTCGTACGCAGACTATTGCTGCTGAAGGCAAAAACAGTCTAAACCACAAATGTAATAGATAAATAAATGACAGATTGCATGATAGATACATCAATTGATATGAATATATTGAGATAGATAGATAGATAGATAGATAGATAGATATATAGATATGAATAGACTGAGATAGATATTAATAGACTGAAATATATATTAATAGACTGTGATAGAAATGAATAGACTGAGATAGATATTAATAGATTGAGATATAGATAGATATAAATAGACTGAGATAGATAGATAGATAGATAGATAGATAGATAGATAGATAGATATGAATAGAGTGAAATAGATAGATAGATAGATAGATATTAATAAACTGTGATAGATATTAATAGGCTGATATAGATGTGAATAGACTGTCAGATATTAATAGACAGAGAAAAAGATAGACAGATAGACATAAACAGACTTATATACAGATAGATAGATAGATAGATAGATAGATAGATAGATATGAATAGGCTGAGATAAGAACAGATATTCGCTGGCGATAAGCAATCGCCTGTGTGCAGCACTCGTAAAAATCTGCACCAATGAAAGCGACCCACTTCTTCACAACGAAGACAGCTCCCTTGTCAGGAAAAGTTGTTTGTATCAATCCATCTTTTATCGGCCTGAAGAGGTGAAAAACATAAGGCGCCAATTCGCAACCATATGATTGGGTATGGTAGAAAATTCTGCTCAAAATTTGCAACGTGATACATTCTTTTTCAAAATGCTGTAAGGTCCGGTGTCATAATGCTGAAAGCGAAAGTTTATCTTCTTCTTTGGTCTGAAAATGCAGGTCTTCAACTTCAGCATCGAAACGTCACCGTCCGATTTGATGGTTGTCCAAGGATCCAGGAAATTCAAGAGTATCCCGCCATTCCAATCCCAAAAGAAAATACACATCTTTTCTAGCCACTGATAGCTGCGTCTTGAACTTTTTCTTAATAGGGGACTCTCATGTTACCACAACCGTGGGCTGTCTTTTTGATCCTGGCTGTCAGTGTTGACACCGCGTTTCGACACTAGTGATGATGTGTCCCTGGAAACCGTCACACTTCGGCCTCGTTTGGGTTTTCACCAGGTCGTAACAAACTTTCGGTGGTCTTTACATTCATGTGTGAACATCCGTTTCACTCATCTCACACAAACTTATTTTCCAATTTCACCAAAATCATTTCCAGTACATTGAAACCGATATTCAGCTACGTGAACGGTTCGCTGATTCATAATTTGTTGGTTAGCCTGAATGAGTTGATCGAGGTGCTCTCCACTTTATGAGTTGAGAGTTGTGCAGGACCGCTCAGGACGCGTGGTTTATCACAAAGAATCGCTGTCGCCACTGCTGAAACACATTAACTACTGCCTAACTGTGCTCGCATTCACTGTTTCGGCTCCGTAAATGTTCACTAAGCCTCGATTTAATGTCAATTGGTATGGATTTATCCGCATGGGGGAATTCAATGACACCCCCCCTCGTTCATACCAGGTGTCAGTATGTTAGATTGATATTCATTTCTTATTTGCAAAAAAGGCAAAAGCATGGCTTATAAAGGCCACAGTTCAAATTCTATTTCCATTCCACCATCATCGACCTCTGATGTCGTATGTTAGTATAATAAAGTGTGTGTCATTAAATTTGGAGCGACTTTCATAGATAGATAGATAGATAGAAACAGACTTGATTGGAACAGACTTACAAAGAAAGAAACAAAGAAAGAAAGAGATAGATAGATAGATAGATAGATAGATAGATAGATAGATAGATAGATAGAAACAGACTTGATTGGAACAGACTTACAAAGAAAAAAAGAAAGAAACAAAGAGATAGATAGATAGATATGAATAGACTGAAATAATTATTAATAGACTGAAATAGATATTAATAGACTGTGATAGATATTAATAGATTGAGATATAGATAGATATGAACAGACTGAGATAGATAGATAGGTAGATAGATAGATATTAATAGACTGTAATAGATATTAATATGCTGGTATATGGATAAAGTCCGACAATTATTTTAAGACATTTTTATGTTTATACATTCTTTTTATAGATACAAATATTTAAGTAAATGCTCTGTTTATAATAAACAGTATTAAACAGCATTTACTGGCCTGAATGGCCGACAGGATTCGAACTTGTATCCTATACGGAACCGTCTCGGACATTCAGGCCGGTAAATGTTGTACAGGTGACTCATTAGACCAGCGAGTAAGCCTACATTAAGCCCCGGGTTTTGCAAGGATGCATAACACTTATTGCATTGGCAACATGTTACTGTGACTTGTAATGCCGGGTAAATCCACTCGTTGACCTGCACATTTTGTTGCATGAGTTGCAAATGAAATCAAGTTGGACATCGTCGTGATAGATTATGATGTCGTTGTGGCGACGTATATGACTAATCAAACCAAACTTTTAAAGCCATATGCACCTACATTCTGCACAGGTGAGAGACCCTTTAGTATATAGATACACAATAGGCCAAAATCCGACGACCCCCTCTGAATTTAATAATTAGTAAGTTTTTCATAAATTCTTTGATTTTATTAACTACTACTAAGATAGGATGCTGAAACTATTTAACACATGACGCCCAATTTTTTTAACGACGTTTTCCTTAAAATTTTAAATCTGTCAATCCTAACATTACCATTAAACAGTAAAGTAGATTAGACAAAAAGGTGTAAAATTTTAAAGAAACTTAATGCAATAACGATTTAATTTCGTTGTTATCATGATTATTATTGAAGATATTATACAACCCTTCAGGAATAGGAAGTCCCTCTCTTCCTAATTTAGCTAGAAAATTAATTTTTAAAAAAATCTTGGGTATAACGATAAATTACATCCGGTAGTAAGATATCTGATTGGGAGATTGGAGATTTTGTGGAGCCTGGAAGCACTTCCTTAATTGCTGTTGTTCTCAGGTCTACCCTGGGCCGGTGTGGTAGTACCTGCTAGGGTCCCGCCTATTGACAAATAGTGAACTCTCAAACAAAACCAAAACACCATGAAAGTATAAAAATACATTTTAATATTAAAAATATCGTTAGTACAATTTTATATAAAAAAAATAAGCAATACATATTTATAGTAAAATGACCAGCAATAAATTTTATCTGTAGTTGAATGTATAAAATTGTGTTCAAATTATTTAAATTTCGGCATTAAATAACTCATATTGATTGATATGCCGCCAAACAACCAACATGAAAGAACTCTTTCATGACATTAATCGATATATTCTACAATTTCTTAAAGAATTAATCTCAATTCTAAAATTCAACAAAACTACAACATAAACACGTATATCACCGGCTCTAGTAATTGACTACACAAATATGTATATGCACAAAAGATGAGTATTATCTACCATATATTCAGTTGTGAAATCAGAATAACATAATATATTTATTATTTCAAAGCTCCCAAGAACCCATACGTAGTTAAACAAACAAATCAGTTTTGAAAAAAAGTACCCAACCTTCAATTTTTAAGTGATTCTTCGAAATTCAAAGGGTGACCCTAAACTTTTGGTACATCACATGCACAAATGCACGAATGCATAGAAACATACATAAATTGATAGGAACAGATTAAGACGCAAGTGAGTCTAGATAAGTCAGATTCTATAGACTTTTAATTCAAAATTACATTTCTTGTCTGTTTATGCTACACTAATCATATTGTATTTAACAAACTCTGGTAGATATTTGTTTTGACATTACTTCATATTCTAAACAGTAGTTGACACAAAAGAAGAGACAAGTCGAGTTTTTCAGTAAAATAGATCTTGAAAAACGACGCAAAGAGAAAAATTATTCTTTTTAGAAGTGAATCTAAACAACGTTTGGTCAATGTTTTTATGTAAGTACAGCGCGGCATTAAAGTAGTGGACAAGATTGGCACAATTGCTGTACAATAAATCTCGATCAGTAGACAGGATTATTATATTTGTACATACACAAACATATAAACAAGGATTTAAGCATATTATATATTCATGCGCGATATGTGTATGTATACTGATATGCATTTTTTTCTTTCACTGTTTAATATATAGAGTGCGGTGGGTAAATTGTTGGCATTTTATGATTTTAATTTTGCGCATGCGCTGTGTTTGTTTTTGATTTTGTCGAATGCACAATATAGTAGGGTCAGTTGGGCACCATTTGTGAGTAAAATAGCACCATGACGCAATTCAATTCGCCGGAAATTTGATGACGACATTCAGTACTGTTTGGCCTTCACGCCGGAAGCTCCAATACAAATATTTCAGAGTATTTGGGTGTTAATCTGAGGACAGTCCAGAGGATTCAGAAAGAGTTGGATGAGTCCAATGGGGATTACGAAGGTACGACAGCTCGGAAAAATGGTAGAAAAAGAACTTCCGAATTTGTTGGTGAGGGTCTCAGACCCAACACGGAAGCCTACATCAAGTACCCTGATGAGGTAGTGCTGCCCTGGTTTAAGAGAGTGGCTGCCGGAAGACCGTATGTCTGGAAACATGACACAAAGCAGGAAGACCCAGTCATGGCTGCTAGACAATTTCTGAAATCACATCACCCCTTACATTTGGACACCTAACTCTCCATACTACCACCCCCTTGATTATCATATGTGGAGCGCAGATGAGCCATAGATCAACAAAACTCCTTGTCACACCAAAGATGAACTAAAGGTAAGGATTATGGCAGCATTCACCAAACTAAGCAAGGAGACCGCCCAGAAGAGTTGCGGGAGATTTCGATGTCGTTTGGTGGCCGTAGTTGAAGCCAATAACGATTTGATTGAATAAATTTACACTTTTGTATTCCAAGATATTTTTGTGCAATTTTGGTAAATATATTTGTTAAAATGAGATGCCAGTGTCATTTTCATTTTTGCGTAATTTAGACGACAATTTACTTTTCGCATCCTGTATATATGTCTCTCTCTCTCCCTCTTTCTCTCTTTCACACTCACTCATTTACTCTCTCTCTCATCCTCTCACTCTCTCTCGCTCACTCTTTCTCTCTTTCACACTCACTCATTTACTCTCTCTCTCATCCTCTCACTCTCTCTCTCTCCCTCTTTCTCTCTTTCACACTCACTCATTTACTCTCTCTCTCATCCTCTCACTCTCTCTCCCTCACTCTTTCTCTGTATGTATTTGTGTCTATGTCTATGTCTGTATGTGTTTTTATATTATTTAGGCTTTCATATACAAACCTTACTAGTATTGGAAAATACCTTAAGAGACTATTGGATAGAATTTTCTTCTTCGGTGGAAGTAAAATTCTTGGACTGGACAAAGAAATGATTGTTTCCTTCCGGTCACTATAAGCTATTTTGGGCCACTTTTCTCTCGTCTCTTGATCTGAGGTTTTTTTTTTTTTTTGTTTTTTTTTACTTCCAAATCCAATTTTTATGGTTGCTGTCCCGCTTTCTTGACTCCGGTGGACAACTTTGTGAACGGTTTTCAATGGAATATCCAAATTTATTTCTTTCAAATTCTTCTTAATAGTTCTGAAGCCTGACCTTCATCACAAAGTGAGAAAATATTCTGGGAGTTGGTGAAAACTACTTGCTTTCTCTAATTGGGGGCCAGGAAAGGAAAATAAATAGATTAAATCTTGCACTGTCGAATTACATCAAATAGAAAAGAAAATTTACTTAGGCCAGTCTCACGTTTCGGTCAAAACAACTAAATCCTCTTTCCACACTTCTCTGTCCATCATTGTCACCTTCAGTTCCTGGAAGTATTCCAGGCTATTATTCTACTTTTGGTTGTCAGTGTATGCAGCACGGCCTCCACCATGACCTCCTCACTCCGTTCAGGTGATGCCACAGAATCATATTTCAGGATTCTTTTTGTAGGCTAGCGTGCACAATGTTTTCTGATTTTCACACTCACTTTTCGGTGATTTCCATACAAGAATTCGTTTGTCGTATGTTGTTAACACTTGCCATCAAGGGCTACACGTAGTAACAAACTCACATAACAAACATCAATTCTCTTTTCTATTCATCTCGCTGGCCCCCAAGAGCGCCGATTCAACTGCGGCTCGGAACATCTTTGCCTTCTTCCCTCTTGTTGTCCACGTTTGAATCTTCCTGATTTTGATATTAGTATCAGAACGGTTCATTCAACTTCCATCGAGATGTCTGAAATATTCAACTAAAATTCAGCTCGGATTTTTCTCAACTTGTAGACGAAAGAAAGGAACAAAACAAGTAGAAAAGAGAATTCATGATTGACATTATGACATTTTAACAAAAGTCACTAGCTTTAAGAATGAATTTTTGTGGATGAGAGAAAATAAAAGACGTTGTTCCTTTTTTTTAATTCGTTGTATACGTTTACACTTGCGAATACCAGTTGTGTAAGATTGGATATGCGATGTGGAGTGGGTGTAATGGATGACGGCTCGGAAAGATAAATTGGAGTGTCGATTTCAAATTCCAGTCAGGTTCGTTACATTCACTTACGCGCAAAATACCCTATGGAGATTATAATGGAAGCGACATGATGGTCCAAGCGTTTCACATCCGCCTATAACAACATACATTGTGTCAGTGCGATAAGGGAATGGCCCATTTCACCCCGTGAATTTGCGGAAAGTCCTTCACAAGCTGTTCACAGGCTAACATACGAAACATCTACGAAGGAATGCTGAAATGTTCTCGGCTTCGTCTACTTTCCAAAAACAACAGATTTTGGTCGCTTGGATCTTCTTGGTCGGTTTAAGAATTTTTTCACCTCCCCTCGTATACGAGGGGAGGTGAAAAAAATTCTTACAGTAATAATAAAAAATAATATCGGACTAAAAACTTCGTTCAAAAATAAATTTATATTAAATATTTATATATATATATATATGTGAGCGTTTATATATATATATATATATAATAGCTGGACACTCGTATCCGAAGATGCCAGTCTGCTAGGGCGGCTAGCTAATCCCCGTTGCAGATATCCACTCAAGCACTTTTGTGTTTGTTCAACACACACAGAGGCAACCTGTGGTTTATACTGCAACTATGCTGAGCAGACCTTAGTTACACTTTCTGGGAGGGGGTGCGATATCTAGCGTGATCATCAGTCTGAACAAGGCCAGCACACTCAAACACTCGGTCACGATGACTTGTAACTTCGTGCTAGCACAACCATCGACAGCTCCCAAAGAGTTCCCTCTTTCAAATTTAACTCACAAGGCTCAGGTCAACCCGTGGTATGGTTTTCAGGCACTTTCCAAAGATGCCGCATGCTGGAGTCAACCCCTCCAGTCCGATAATATCCTTATTGACAAATCGACCATGGTGAGATTCAAACCCGGGTCTCATGGT